GATAACACTCTATGGGTCTGTAATAATCTATCTAGAGATTATAAATTTAAAAAAATTGAGGTGTTTTTTTGTTCTTTCTTTCTTTCTTTCTTTCTTTCTTTCTTTCTTTCTTTCTTTCTTTCTTTCTCTCTTTCTTTTAAGCCTGACATCAGAATAGCCATGTCTGTTTCCTGTACTAGAGGGCCTTCCTTGCAGTATTTTGTAAACGCAAATACCAGTCTTCTAAGCCCAATGATTATTTTCTCAAGGTTAGTAATGACGCATATTCCCAATGTTTATTGTTGCTAAAGACTTTCAGACTGACTGCAGGTCTGGCACTTTCTATGAAGAGTCATTTTCAGATGTGTCCTCCCTTTCTTTGAAAGTACCGGCTTGAGCAAAGTGAGGTGAAGCAAGGCAACCCCAGCTGTAAACCAATACTTTTCAAAGTTTCTCTGCTCTTCCAATTAATACTCAATTTTTCACAAATAATATGGCATAGGAAAATGAACGATATAACAAGATGTATTATTAGGCTATAGACATAATGGGGACCCAGCGCACTGGCATGAATGCGAAATTTACTTTTAATACTTGTGGAAGTTGAATCTGGCCACTCATTAACTAGATAGTAGTGTCCATATGGCGTTGGTCTCAAACTGATTTCCAGCGTTCATAGCATTTTGAGTTGAAAGATGGGTTTGGTGTTTTGAGTTTGGTGTGGGGTTGGGTGTTTGGGTTTTGTTTTGGTTTTGATTTTTTGGGTGGGTTTTTTGTTTTGTTTTGATTTTTTTGTTTGGTTGGTTGGTTTGTTTTGGTGTTATTTTTTTTTTTTTCCTCACAAAGACAGTTTTGTGTTATGCTTTAGAAACGACATAGGCATTGAGAACAGATATCAGTGAAATTCGTGTTCCCAAGCATGGCAGAATCGTCTTTGCATACCTTCCTCTGAAAACAGCGATAGAAAGCTAAGCGAGAAGGAAGTAAAGTGAGGGAGAGAGGGGAAGAAGGGGAAAAAAGACAATTCAACCCCACTGAATTAGGTAGCAAATCTATAACTAATGAACCATGCAGTCATATAAGAGTATTTAACAAGCATCTGACAAATGTTCTGGGCAATTTCAAACATGGCTTTATTCTGACTATGTGACTTGAAACACATTATTGCCCGGACCAGTGTGAACGCTGGAAACTCAAAACCAAAATATTCCCACCCTTTTCCTTAACTCCCTACGTGAGAAGAAAAGGGACATAGGCACAGTCCCAGCGAGGAAAGAGAGAGGAGAACGAAAGACAAAGCACAAGGACGTGTGCCTCCGGAGCACAACAGCACAGAAGTCTGCACCCTGAGAACTAGGGAACATTTCTCATCCCCCTGAAAGACTAATGCCTTCCTCCTGCAACTGCAATTTCCTTTGCAGCAAAACCGTGTATTAAATGGGCATGGTGGGTAGTAAGGACCTATAAGTTTCTTGCTGTAGTTCTGCTAATAAATAAAATTCTAAATGTTCAAAACACTCTATCTGTCACATTCACAAGATAGGTACTGTAAATTCCTGTTGAAAATATACAAACAGAGATCCAAGAGGTTGCCTCTGTTTTTGTATCTCTCTCTCACAAGAAATGCACTATCAAAACATTAATTATATTTGAAAGGGAACAGATTATTTGTTTGAGAAAGAATTACATTCTTGAATTTATATTCCACGCAGACCTCTCCTCCTGTCTACTGAGAGGGTTGAACTGTAAATCTGTCTCAAATTATTTACCCCTAAAATGTAAGTAGGTGTGTCACATTAGAGTAGTAGAGAGATGAGAGATAATCTGTAGGTGCTTTTAGACACCTCTGTGGGATGGGTCGTTAGGGAATGTCGAAATGAACACGAAATTGCAAACCTAACATGTGAAGAACATACACGCTTATTCTTTGACAATGAAAATACAAACGCACGTAGAGATGCAGAGTTGAACCTAGTTAGTTATTAAACACGATGACTCAAGGGAGTTTGGGCCCGCAGTTCCTTTTTGTTTAGTTGGTTTTGCTTTGGTTGTTGTTGGTTTTTCGGTTTTGTTTTGTTTGGGGGTTTTTTTGTTTGTTTTGGTTTTTTAATGCTTTCATGCGCATCTTGTGGTAGCCGATAGTTGAAAAGCTATTAACCGTGTGAAGAGTCATCACTTAAGTCAAGAGAAATCTCTTAAGGATTGTACCTTCTTTCATGCTTTTAAAAACACTAATATAAGGGTTAAATAGGCTCCCCCATACCTTTACCTTTCTTCTGAGGGGAATAGTTGGACTTTACTAGGAGCTCTTGAAAAACTCTCCTCGATGTCTGCTTTCTGCACTCTCCGCTAACCGGACCTCCAGCATTTCCTAACCTACCTCCAGACGCCGTTAGCTATCTCAGCAGCATCGTTCTCCAGCACTGCAAGTGTTTTGGCAGGAATTGATGTGGACAGTCCGTTCAGAAAGTTTTTGTGCTGTCATGTCATGTTTGGGGAAATTCGTCACTGAATCGGTGCCCTTAGCTTGGGACCGGGGAAGCTGTGCTAGCACCAGGTCCTGCAGAGCTGAGCCCTTTTCTCTATTCCTGTGTTTCTTGAGCCCTGGGAAACCGAAGCCATGGGGCCTGAAGGGCGGTCGCGGGGAGCACGGGAAGGTGGGGGTGGGTGGACTTTTCTGCCTTGGATGTGCCTGGGATGTGCTCTCTCCCTGATTAGGTATCTGTGGAGGAAGAAGGTGACGTGACGAGAAAAACCTGACAGCCAAAGTGGGAACTGTCCGGGAGAAGGATCCGTGATGAATGAGGTCTGCGAAGTCATGATGCACAAGCAGCCCAGGACAGTGTGTTGGCATCAAATGCCGCTTTTTGTTCGCTAGAACCATAAAGAAAAGTGGGGAGGGGGCGGAGGGGGGCGGGGGGGAGAGATGAAGGTGAGGTGGGGGAGGGGGTCCTGGGGAGGGGGTCAGTGAGGACTGGGAGTGAGAGATGGGAGAAATCAGTGGCTGAAATGTTAGCACGAGTTCATCGTCTCTCCGGGAGAAGGAGAAGCTGCGTTTGTCAAATGGGCTAGAGCTCTGACGAGAGGCAGAGGCGCCATGGGAGCGCCCCGAGATGCGGCTGTGAAATGTGGATCCCGACCGACCCCAGGGACAGTACTTTATGTTATAATTATGTTATAATCTATCCCAAAATCTTCCAGGCAGGTGTACGAGGTTAAGTCAGGCTCTTCGATAATCGCCGACTCATCGTAGCGAGCAAATTCTGCCCCGGGGTAGGGGAAAAGATGGGAAAAGCGGTTGTGAAGTCGGAGAGACATTACTACATAAACTAAAATCCTACTAAAATTGCAAACATTATTTTATTCCTGGAGTAATTCGTGCAGAACTGAAGCTTCTTCCTCGGGCTAGGAGGAAAGGGTTGCCCTGAACAATCCTGTAACTTCTTGAATTGTTTTTGACCGTGCACTGTATTGCCGTAATGCCAATAAACGCTTTAAACGCGTCCTGCTAGCGGCCATCAGACTCCCCGGCCCCTCAAGCCCGGTCTAGAGGAGATCTGGCTCGGTTCGGGGCTGCTGGGTCACTCCCTGCCGTCGGGTGCTCTTGGCGCTCCGGGGAAATGTGGCTGGGCGAGCTGGGGCTATTACACTGACCTCCGGGTTCTGTTTCCTCGGAGGGGCCGCCTTGGCTCGCAGGGGGTCGCAGAGACAGGCGCTCCCTCCGTGTCAGCGGACTCAGGATTGCAGGATTTGAGTTCAGCGGCCGGAGACAGCCCTGCCCGATTTGTGCCGGACTTGGTGTCTGCCTGCGAGGAGACACAGCTCTCCCAGGCACGGCTTCCCTGGGGGGCAGCACGGCCCATATCGCTCACCCTTTCAGGGAATGCCAGCAGATGGATGCAATTAAGCCTCGGCTGTGCTCCCTGGCTGGACACCGATCCAGGGTGTGAGAGGGTTGGCCATTATGCAGCGCCTATGGGCTGCTGTTCACCGCCGACAGCTGTAACTGGGAGGAGGAACGAGTCATGGGTGCTCCCAACTTTCCCGTCTCACGGCAGCCACGGGAGCACGGCAGGACCCCAAGGGCTCATGAGAGAAAATGCCAGGAAAAAAAAAAAAGAAAAAGAAAAAGAAAAAAGAAAGAGCTACACACCTATTGGGAGAATTCAAATATCTATGTAATGTTATTAAAAATAATAAAATCCCAGCAAAACAAGGGCTCTCTTTTAAAGGAAATCTGAGGAGCGCAGCGAGCTAAGTGAAAGCTCTGTTTTCAAGGCAAGGCAGGATTAGTTCCCTGCACATAATAGCCAGTGTGTAGGAATTGCAAATGAACATCACCAGCGGTGCTGGAGTTACCCTCTTTAAATTAATATCGAGCTGGCTTCCCTGCACAACGTGTAAATAACAGACATTTCTCAGCTTTCGAGGCGAATGAAGATTGAAACAAACATATATTTATATTTCCCCGTAGTTTAATCCAAGAAACTCCTTTCCCGGGGTAGCCAGTCAGCAGTGGAGGAATTTGGGGCAACGCCCCCCCGACCTGTTTTGCGGGTTAACAACGCCACCAGCGCAGCAGCTCCGGAGCCCCGACGGCCGCGCAGACCGGGCTGGGGCCGGTGCCCGGCTCGGCTCGGCGGCTCCCGGCCCCGCAGGGCCCCGCCGGGGGAAGCTCCGCGGTTCGGGCTCCGAGCGGGGCTCCGGCGCTGATCGGGGCCCGCTGGGCTGCGGGCCGGGCGCCGCTCCCGCTGAACCCGCTCCTCCATGCCGGCATCGGGCGAGAGAAAGGGAAAGGTAATACATCTGATCTCCCGCCGCAAAGAGGGGAGAGAGAGAATGCTGCGAGCTCCAGGGCTCTCACAGACACTTCAGAAATTAATGGGGGAGGGGAAGGGGCTAGGAAGGATAGATGCACTGGAAACGGTAAAATAAAAACATGATGTGAAGATATATTTACTGTCAGCTCAGAGCCAAAACATTTATGCTCCCACGCCTTTTTTTTTTTTCTTTTTCCTTTCTTTTTTTTTTAGCATATCGGAACTTAAGTGATGCATTTTAATTATTTTAGGAAAATAAGCAAGAAAGCTTTTTTTCAGAATCTAAATAAATAGCAGAGTGTTCTGTGCTGATGATGTCTCCGGCTCGTGATGGCCTCATCTATCCAGCCACTACTGTGAGCTCTGAAAACCGGGGAAGAATGGTGTGTTACTGGCACTTTCTGAAAGGAACAATCCATTATTTTTAGGGTTTTCTGAAAGAGAAAATGCAAAGAATTTTCTGATCGTCTGAGAGGTGAAAAAGGAGCAATATTTTCCTAAAGCTTCAGCTCAGTATTGCTTAGGTAGGCCTTATGGGAATAACAATTTTCCTTATTTTTCAAATAGTTATTTAAACTCCTTGCAAGTAGTAGGAAAAAAAGTACACATTGCCCTAAGAGAGAAGGTGCTGTATGCCTTGCAGTCTCTGAGATCAGCTCGGTGATTTCTTTTTCTCCCCACTCCCCTGTCCCTCACCAATCCCCAACTTTGATCTAAACCCTGACAACTTTCTTCCTGCATACGTGTCCCTAATCTTCAAGAGATTGCACAGACCTTCCTAAAGGAGAGTGATACTCCAAAGAGCCACTTTGTATTTTGGGGAGAGGGGAGGAGTATAACCCTACTTCACCTAGAAGTAATTTCCATTTGATTGTAAATGGAAGAAACCCAAAGCCCAAAACCCACCCCCCAAATCCCAAACCAAGAAAACCAAGCACAAAACAAATACCAAAACAAGTGAGAATGCAGTAAAAGAGACCCTCTTTATGTTAACATTTAAAAAAATAATGAATCAATGTAGTACAATTGTAGGGAGCATGCACACAAGCAGAAAATATCAGTCATAATCTCTGTGGTTAAAAAAAATTGAATCAATGATAGGTTTCAGTTCTCTGCAGGAACACCTAAAATATTTATGACCAGGAGGGCTTATTCCACAGTTTTCTTTCCAAAGAGGATATATTTTCTCATCTTTAGTAAAGATTTTCATAATGTTTCTCTTGCTCCTCTCCCCTACACTGACTTCCATTTAGGGTAAATGCTGTCACTCAAACATAGCTCAAATGAACTCAGTGAAAAGTTCAGAGTACCTACAGGCAAACTCCTTTTTTTCTCTTCGTGGTGTGTTTGCATCTTCAAGATTCATCTATGGAAAGCCCAGAGTTGTGACTTTGGACTCTGTGCCGTCACTCTGAGTGATGCAGAAACTGTAAAAAAAGGGGAGAGCTAGAAAAGTCACAAGTTTTTGGTTCCTGATTCAAGCAGAACAGCAGCATCAGCAACAGCAACACTGAGACTCTATCAAGGAAATAAAGATAGAAGGAAGAGGAAAGAAAGCCTAACAGCAGTGAAAGAAAGCAAGTAGAAGTGTTTTGCAGAACAGAATGGTACTACTGATTTCCAGCCTACCTGATTCTTACCCCAAAAACAGAGCAGACCACAACTTGCAGTACCCTAAAACGTGACAAGAGAGAGTAGTGTAGGTCTTTGGGTGTCTGATCAGTCTGTTTTGCAGAACATTAACCCATCTTTGTTAATGTCTCTAAGAGTTTTCTGACACATGCTCCTAAAAGCAAAGCAGAAAAGTGCTCACTGACGTGTTTTCATGTAGATCCTAAGGATATCCAGACCTTCTCTGTAAAATTCCACCATGATCCCCATTGAAACTGCGAAATAGTGTTGCTGGTTTACAGGAAGAAACTTGGGCATCAGGGCTTGTGTAAGCAGGTGTGTACAACCAAGTGTGTGAGACCTACCTGCCTTATTCTCTCCAAAGAACCACCCCTCTCTCTTTTCCTACAACACAGGAGAATTCCTGATGCTTCCATTTTCAGTCCTGTTCTGTCAGAGTCCATTGAATCTTTGCCTCCTTGCCTGATGACCCAGAAATATCACTGGAAGAAACAGATTAACAATAAAAAGCTGTAAAAAAATGTTTTAAATGTACTTGGAATGTTTTTGATTGATGAAAACAGGTGGAAAAGATTTTTGAGATTATTTACAAAAATGCTGGAAGCCTCATGGATCAAATCATTCAATGCCAAGTTTGCAAAAAATCCCCAGAGATTAATGTAATCTGAGCAATGTCCTTTCATTGAAAGAAAATAGATGAACTTCTTCTGTAGATCTTTCTTCTATGAATGTTTAGAATTGCTACTTTCACAAAAACATAAGCCCAGTTATATACTATCTTGGTGTGCCCATTTAAAAAATCAAATATTTCAGATTTATTGGTGGAGCTGAATCTGAAAAAGAAGTATCAAAACCAATGTTGATGATGCTGAACAATGTTGATTTACAGTGTTATCATTACACTTCAGAAATAACAGGGTACTGCTAAGAAAAGGAGTTTTTCAATCTTCCTTTAGGTCTATTGATAGCGAGTGACTTTCAAACTTCCTTCTGGCACCTAGAATTCATTCACTACTATTGAAAACCTGCCTGAAGTTTGGAGGAGCTAAAAATCTCACAGTTAATTAATTAATTAGTAGTGAACTAGAAGGAACTGCATAAATTACTGAAGTCACGAGACAAAAAGATCTATTTTCTTTCTTTTTAGGATGTTGATCTAGTATTGAAATATCACAAAAAGCACTGTTCTCTTTGCCCATACCAATCTTAATAAAAATAATCCTCAAGTCTGGATGTACGTATTTGGGTTTTATTTATTAGGCATGAGAACTTCAATTCTATCATTTGTTTTGGTTACTTGCTCATTGATAACAGTAAGTCTTCTGTGGCAGTTTTTGGAAGATATTTGAACTCAGCGCCTTGTAGGAATTTCAGATATTCTCTGGGTAGATTATGTGCCTGGTGGGAACTGGTCCTATGTACTGATTAAGAAGTACACTTAAATAACTTGGCCAATGATTTAGAGAATATTCTGTATAAGTGTGCATTTTTCCATAAGTGGGACCACTCTCCATGCCATGTAGAGACTTGATTTCCACACACACAGCATGGAACAGGAAGTCTGATGTAAGAATCTATGACACTCCTGTACACAGAAAGAGGAAGAAAATCTCCTCCTGATGTGTGGCAGTCCTTTAAGACATATACTTTTTGAGGATGAGGAAGATGATCCTGATTTACCCCTCTGCACTGAAGTAAAGCCCATGCCATCAGCCTGTGGGCTTCATGCCAAGCCCCATCTCAGGCTTGCAGTTTTGCTTTTCTGCTCTGCTACTGCAAATTAAGTTCCTCTGCTCTGGGACTGAGTGTGAAGAAGCAGCCATGTTGAGGCCAATTCTCTTGGAACATGGGCCTGAATTAGCTTTCAGAGCTATTTCAGAAGCCACGTGTCAGGGCTAGAGTTTCCAATGCTTAATTTTACCAATGCTTTTCTTCTTGAAAGCATGATGAGGAAAGGACAATTGAAACACTTTATGTCCAGAATACTGCAGAATGTTGCAGCCCAGAAAGCCAACCATTTCCAATCTTCTAAAGCAGAAAGTGGAGGTTGAGGGAAGTGATACTGCCCCCCTACCCTGCTTTGGTGAGACCTCACCTTGAGTATTGCATCCGTCTCTGGGGTCCCCAGACCAGGAAAGGCACCAACCTTCGAGAGCAGGTTTACAGGAGGGCCAGCAAGGTGATTAGAGGGATGGAATGGAAAGGCTGAGAGAACTAGTTTTTTTCAGCCTAGAGAAGAGAAGGGTTCAGGGTGACCTAATTGTAGATTTCCAGTACCAGAAGGGAGCCTACAAGAAAACTGGAGGAGGAGTTTTTATGCAAGCATGTAGTGACAGGACAGGGGGAAATGACTTCAGACTGAATGCGATTAGGACTTCTTTGAACCCAAACCATTCTATGATTCTATAAAGTCCTAAACAATTTTCTGCTGCCACGAATTACTGTAGAAAAGATAATGTGTCATAAAAGCAAGGCAACAAAGGGGAATTCGTCATTGCTGGTCTTGTAAAGAGGGACCAGAGACCATGGCATGGTAGCTCTCCTTTACTGAGGAATCCCCAGATGTGCAGGGCAGAGCATTTGTTTTTATTTCAGGTTTTCATGTTTCACATGGTCAGTTCACATGGTGAACTTTTCTTCTGGATCTGTAAGTATCTAATATATTTATCTGCAATTTATCTATGAGTGCTCTAACTTGGACTGATATTTGTCACCCCAAATCCAAACTCCAGCTGCAGGTTGAAGGTTCAGACCTAGAAGTAGAAAACTGAAGGCCTGGTACCTCATTCTAAGAGTTATTTTCACGTGTGCACAATACTATTGGCTAAATGGACAAAGAAGCTTCTTGGCCTAGGACTTGCATAAAGCTGGCTGGGATGGTCTGCTTTAGGCTGCTGCATATTTTAGACAATAAACTAGGAAAAGAAGCTTCCAGTTTAATAAAAAGTGATTTGAAAGTTGCTAAGCAACTTCTAGAAATCTTGCTTTTTAAGAAGTCCATTTGTTTGCTTAATTTCAGGAAAAGGTTGCATGTTATTATCCAAGTTGCATAAATCAAAAGAGAAAAACAAAAAAGGAAATGTAATAGGACATTTTCTTTGCTTTCTGTCTTTTGCAATTAAAACCCTTTTAATTGTCTTGTGGGGTTTCATTAGGTATTCAACAAATGTTATTTATGTATAAAACTTCAACCGTTTATTGACTATGCAAGAACCAAAGGAGAAAAATTAAGCAGGTTTGTCATATGGTATGTGTTTATCTTAACCTTTCTTCTTCAAAAATCTTATCTACTAAGTACTTTTATCAGACACTAATTATACTCCCTCTGAAAAGAATTTCTCCAACACCCTTCAGTGCCTACACCCTTTAATCATATCTCATTACATCTACCTAATCCATCTCTTTCTCGCATTGCCAGGGCTCATTAATAGTTTTAAAAGCCAGTCCTGGATATTATCTTTTCTTTCTGTAGAAATATAAATAATAGCAATGCTGTTTTATTCCTAGATTTCATAGCCATTTCTAATTGGATCAAAAATTATTTGAAAATATTGAGATTTTTTTCAGAAAATAACTCTAAAATATGTGACAGAACATCAGTAGAATCTTATAAGTATTTTTGCAAAATTTTTTATAAGATATTTTAACAGTGACCACTTTGAAAGGAAGCAATTTTTGACTAAAATTTGACAGATATTGTGCTTTGCAGATATATTATAGGTGAGACATGCATCACCTTGCAAACAAAGTGGATGACCCAAAGGGTTTCTACATGATTGTGAAAGTAAGAATAAAAAGAAACTATGAGGACAACAAAAGGCTTTCCATTATTTCTTTGTGCATGCCTTACATCAGCGCAGTTTGAAAACCTTGAATAAAATGTCTCCAGTATAGTGTCAGCTGAAGTGAACTGATTGACACAAATGAATAATTGGTCAAATTTTGTTTTTTTCTGTTCCCCAATTGTTTGCAAACAGGCTACAAAATTCTTTACTACTCTTACACTTCAAAATTATTTGTAAATTACTTCAGTGGGTAATCCTTAATTTATAGACCCACTTCTTTGCTGTCAATTTTGACAATTTGTAATCTACATTTTATTAATTCCTTAAGTAACTTATGTGAATTAGAGATCCTATTTTCAGGATACATAGGTCTACATTATGCCAGCTTGCCTTGACTGAAAAATCTGAGCAGAGTACCGGTTAATTTTCAAAAGTTAACATGTCATGATCATGGCTTTGAGGTAAAACCAGCTGCCAAATTTCAACTAGGAAGATTGTTTTCCCCCAGATCTGATTAGAAGAACCACTAAGAGGTTATTTTAATCTCCTTTTGTAATGAATAATATTATCGTGTTCTATGGATTATCTGACAGTTTTATTCAATATATTGCAATTATAATTTCAAGAACCTGTGACATTTGTTCTCATCCTCTCATACACCTTAATTCTAGCTTTTGACTAAATCTTAAATTAAGCTAATGCTATGATTAAGGAAGTGATTATTTGTTGTTTGTTTGTTTTTTTAAGAAGCATGGACACAGAGTATGCATCCATTCATACTGGATTCTTTGGAGGTAGGAAGAGCAAGCACGATTTCTTGAATTTCAGGAAACTTGGGTTGACCAAGGCAATTTGGTATAACTGTTGCATCTATTCAATGCCTAACTGGGGTTATAGGGAAGCATTATGGATCCTTTCAATGGAAAATTCAGAATTTATATTTTACTGTGAAATTGAAATATGTTTGCAGGCAATACAACTGATACGTCCTACAAATACATTCAGAATAACTGACATTATTCACAAAGCAAATGAATATAATCAGGAGTGTCATCTGTAAATATGGTACTGGTTTGCTATGTTTGTAATTACTGCTTCTTTTCACTGAAGAGCTGATTTATGTAGGTCAACACGACATATGAAAAAAATGTAGATATGAAAGTTACAGTCAACTGAAACTTGCTTTTGGAACTACTAATGAATTAGAGCTGAAAAATATTTTTGTAAGTATTCCTTATTACAGAACTATTGTATTCCGTTCAGGAAGCAAACAGAAAATGTCATACCTTGAATGAACCTAAGGGCGATGTGTTATTTCCCAATCTGTGAAAATATGTATGGTTTGAGATGTCTTTTTGTTTCACACTGAAAATAAAACAAAACTCTTTGGAACACTTTTATGTAATAAAATTGCATACATCTGTTTTGGGATCAAATAATTTTTTTTTTGTTTGTGTGCATTTCTCTTTCCAATCCTTTGTTTCACTCTCTCATTAGGAAATTACTAAATTGACAAGCCAGGATATTTAGAACATTCCCATTGTAAACATCATTAAATCTGACACATTTTTATGGAACATTTTGGCTTCAGTGGAAAGATATATTTAGATGAGAAAAAAAGTCAAATAAATATAAGCGGTTATAAATCCAGTCAAGCAGATATTCATATTGAAATTTGAACTAATATTTACATGGTTCTTTTTCCAAAGATTCTTTAGACCGAATAACTTGAGTAGACCTGGGTTATGCTAACAGCTCCCTACCCAAGTATCTTGCTGTAAGATGGATTTGGAGTTCACAGGGAATAGGAGCTGGGGATGTTTCCTGTGTGTTCTCTTGCCCATCCAGTCTCTGCCATTGGAGTCTCCCTATTGTGGTCACCTCAGTGTCTGTGCCTAAATGCTGTTATTGAAGTTTACTAGGGATAGAATTCCTTCACGGTTCACATTGGTGCTTTTCTCTCATTAGCTATCTGTTATGTTTTTTCAGTTTCGCTGTAGCTAAGCCTAACGTTAACACTCTGTTTCAGAAAAGTGGAAAATAGTGCATTTTTTTCTTCTAGTCCTGCTTTGGTAATTGTTTGTCAGGGTTCAGAATCCAGCACAGAATCTAGATTTCATTATGGCCAGTGGGATTGTTTAGTGGCCCCAGGATTGCTATGGACATCAATATTGTCAGAAGTCAGTGCAACATGTTCACAGTTAGCTTTCCATTTGCTTAGCTGTAAGTGTGGGACACAGAAAATGGCTAATGCAGGAGTAATAAATAATTTGGATATCCTGTCTCTCTAAAATAAGCCATTTTTTGGCAATGGAAGCCTGTGTTAAGTAAATGAAAATTCTGACCTGTAACAAGGAACCCTTACATATTCCAGAAGAGAACATCTTACCCTCTTCACATTTAGAAATCAAGGAGAATCCCTACTTTTAGGAGAGCATGCTCTACTAATACGAATGGAACATTGAATTAAAGAAACATTCCTTATATGCAATTTTTATAATTTCAGAACCATCATATTTTGTTTTAGGCATTAATATTTCTGAAGGATAGCATAAAACCTTACAACCTAAGCAGAAAAATGATCATTAAGTCCAAGATAAAAGCTGAAGTTATAATTTTATGCCAAAGATTTGATTCCACAGTCATTCAGTATTTAGGAGGGTTAAGAAGGCATTCTACTTTCACACAATTATTTGCTTGCCTGCTCTTCAGACACAGGATGAATCAGCACAGGGATTTGAAAAGTGTAGTTGTCAGATTTGTGAGTGCCGCAGATTACCAGATATTATGTCCATCTTCATTATCTGCATCTATTTTCATAGAACAAAGTTATTGGATTTTAGAGTACAGGTTGAAACAGATACAGAATTGTCATGTTTCTTGGAAATGACATTTGCTCAGATGCAAGCTAACATTTGGAATGGCATATATTGGTTTATTTGGGTTGAAGTAAAGAGGAGGGGTGAAGTAAAGGGATGGAAATTATGGCACTAGAAGTAGAGTCATTAGTTAAAAGTATTTCTTGAATCAGCAAAGCATTTTACAAATTTAATGGAAGATATTCCTAACTAGAATGGTACATGGCAGTGAAATATCACAAGTCTGCCATGAAGACTCTAGATGTAAGTTTTGTAGTCTTTTCAATCCCCTGCAAGCCAATTGTTTTAATTTATCTGTTTAAATCTGAGTGTCTGCTCAGATCTCTACAGCAACAGAGTAATAAAGTCTGCTTGCCTTTCTCTTCAACAAACTTCACAGCAGACATTAGCAAATGTTAGTAGTTGCTTTTGATTTCTTTATATCCTTTGTAGAACGATAAATCTTGATGAGATATGTCATGGAAGACTCTAAGGAAATCATCTATTATCAGGAAAATGAAAAACTCATCTTTGTTAATCCATATACATTTTTCCTCCCAAGTAAATTAACAATTCAAAATCTTGC